GGTGCTGGACAAAGGGGACAAGGCTGAGGGATCAGTGTGGGTGCTGGACAAAGTGTGGCAAGGCTGTGCAGAGGTGGGAACAGCTCTGGAGTTATCAGCTCCACACAGGCCAGCAGCTACTGTGATGGGCAGAGCCAGAGCAATCCTGATGGAATGAAAATCTGGAATTCTGATTTTTTTCCAAAAAGTAAAAGATATTTTTCTAACATTTGTTTATTGTCAACAAGGTACATACTTTCCACAGCCCCAGAGTCACTGGTCTCAGTGGTCGGCTCCAAGTGGGTGATAGGCGCTCTGAAACACTGACTCAGGGGTCAGTCAATGAAAAGACACTGACTCTCAAGTTTCTAAGAGGGAGAACGTGTGCCCAGTTGCTGGCCTATAACAGACCACACACACACACACACACTCACACACACTCACACTCACACACACTCACTCACATGCACACGCACACACATTCACATACACACATTCACATACACATACTCACACATACACACTCACATTCACACACACACACATTTACATACACACACTCACACACACACACTCACACTCACATGCACACACACACACACATTCACATACACACATTCACATACACATACTCACACATACTCACATTCACACACACACACATTCACATACACACACACACACACTCACACGCACATACACTCACACACACATACACACTCTGGGAGAGTGAGAAAGCAGAAAAGAAAGCAGATGAGCAATGGTTCCCCAGCGCCATTGCTTTCTGTTCTCAGTCACATGTTAAAAACCAACCAATAACAGCATGTGACAGCTCGGCAGGTGACCTGGCACAGGCCTCCTGGTGCCTCCGCTTCCCATTTGTAAGGGAGGGCGCTGTGCCTCCGGGTGTTACTAGAAGGACTGAATGAGACAATGAACGGGAGCCTGCTCTGACAAGAGAAAGTATTCTACAAATACTGTTTGATGGTCCACATGAACTTGGGGGTTTCTCTGGCATGGCTGTGTCGTGTGTGTGTGTATGTGTGTGTGTGTGTGTGTGTGTGCGTATGTGTGTATTTAAATTTATTCTGAACAGTATGAACCCAAATAGCTATAGCTCTTCCCTTGCCAGCATCCACCCTTAAAGGTGCAGTCATTATGTTTGTACTCTGCAGAATGATAATCACTAGCGAACAGAAACTGCCCCCAATACTGAGAACTCACAGCCGACATCAGGGGGCCCTGTGTGACCACTGCGCCCGCGTGCTCCTAAGGAAGCGGTGTCTCAGCCTGTCAGCTGCTGTGCTGGAGCCCTTGGCACCTGGATTTGAGCGCTGGCCTCACCCCCCGTTCACAAGCAGCTGAGTCCCCAGCAGGCACTGTGCTGTGGAGGGGATAGGGGACAGGGGTCAGGGGTGGGGTAAATTGAATCTCTTACACAGAATATCATTTTGCTGCCCTTTCTTAAATATAAGTTGCAGGTCCTGCTGTATTTTTTTTAGTAGGCATAGAGGGATAATTTATTGGTATGAAGGCCACTCTTAGTAGAATTACTATATTTCCTACCAGGTGCTTTAAAAATAAAGAAATAAGTTAACAGATACTAACTTATTTGTCTCCCCATTATTTGTCTCCACGTCTTTTCCTCAGAGAGATAATCATGGCCCGAGCTGCCTCTGTGGGTCCCAGCATCCCCCACTGAGTGTCACCCCACCCGCGCCCCCAGCAGTGGGCTTCTCATGACAGGACTCAGTCACCCTCCGATTCCCACAGCAGACTTCCCTCTGGGAAACGCGCCCCGTGCTGGGGCTTTGCACACAGCACGAACGCTGCGGGTCAAGCCGCACGGCTGGCCTGTGAGCAGAGGTGGCGGTGGCACCTGGCACAGTGTCCAGATGCCTCCCGCCCGCTGCCGTCTTCCAGTTTCCTCATTGGCCCTCACACAGCATGCGGCATCTGAGGTGACACTTCATAAACGCCACCTCACTTTTCTTCCCAGTGCCCCCCAGAGGCAGGAATCCCGTAGCCTCCACCCAGGAAGATTCGTGCTTCCTCAGTGGTCATCACTCGGGCAGTTCCTGGGCAGCAAGGAGGGAGCCTGGTTTCCATTTTCTCTTATTCAGCTGTTCAGGGCTGGGTCCCTGTGTTTACTGCTGCCAGGATTCATTCCGCAAACATTTAGTGCTCCCTGTGCCGAGTGCTGGGGAGACTGACCTCAAAGCTACCAACCACACCACTAAGAAGCTGGAGAGTAGAGAGAGGACACCCACTTGGTAGCAGAGAAGGCTTCCTGGCAGAGGTGTGGCCAAAGAGCCAGAAGGAGGCAGCCAGGGGTGGAGGGGAGGAAGGAAGGCAGACATTGAGATGGGCCCTAGGCAGCAGGGGTGAGGCTGGGAGCTGGAGAGGAGACAAGCGAGGCTACATTAGGGACCAGAGGCCAGGTACAGAGGCCCTTCCTCGGGTGTCAAGTGGGTGGAGATCTAGTTTCAAGATTTAGGTGGCCAGGCTCTCACCTCCTCTCCATGGCAATCTCCCACAGTCCCTAAACACGTCTTTCCCTAGTTCAGCAACTTAAAAGGCCTGACATCCTGTCATTGTCCCCAGTTTTATTGTGCTAAAATACATGCAGCATAACATTTACCATCTTAACGACTTTTAAGTGTACAGCTGGGTGGTATTAAATAGGTTTATAATGTCGTGCAACCATCACCACCATCCATCTCCATCACTCTTTTCCTCTTATAAAACTGAAACTCTGTACCCAGTAACTAACTCCCCATTCCCTACTTCCCCAGCCCCGACAACCACCATTCTACTGTACCTGTAATTTTTTATGTGGATGGGTGAATGAATGAATGAATGAATGAATGAGTGAATTCTTTCCCTTTGATGTCTTGATGTGAATGATCACATAACAGATCCCTGGGAAGATGGTTCAACCCCTGTCGGAAGCAGGCAGAAGGCGGAACAAAAGGGAAGTCTCGCTGTCCTGGGAGAGGGCCCGGCCTGCGGGGCTCCCTTCCTTGAACTCGGTTGTCCTGAGCAGGGTGGGAATCCACAGCGATGCTTCCTGGCCCCAGCTGTCGGCCACTTCATGAATCACAGACTATCAGTCTCGTCAATAAGGTGGAATGGTTTTAAAGGAAACAAGTGTAGAAAAGAAAGGAGTTTGGAGGACAGTGCGCAAAGACGGAGGTTGCCAGAATCGTGTCCTGTGCACTTGTTTGTGGTTTAGATGCAGGCCTGTGAGAGTTGATGGGATGGGCAGTAAGAGCAGGACAGCCGTGTACAGTGTGCAAGATATGGAAGGGGAAAGACCCCTGCTCTGGCAGCGCTTTCCCTGCCTCCACCTCCCCAGGCAGGGGCTGCTGCACGCTGCCCCCCCTTCCCCAGAGCCCTTCTTCACGGACTCCCCTCACTGTGCCGGGAGCCTCCTGAATGAGTGTGGTCCAGGGCACTCCCCTTCTCCTGGCCTTCTTGTTTTGTGTGCAAGCACTTGCTAAGCTAACTAATCAGACCCTAACGCCAGGATTTTCTGGATATTCAGAAATTATTTAGATTATTTGGACCTGCCTAGGGTATATGTATTCTCAGATGATTGTCTTCTAATGTAGAAATTCAGAGGGCACTGGACCCAGAACGAGCCAGATGTGCCAATGAGCTGGGGGGGGGGAGGGGGAGGAAATCACTTTTTAATGTCAGGGAACGTGGAAATAAATGAGCTTACAGATTATTTCTGATTCCTTCTAGCCCCACTCCCCAAAGTTTATTTTTTCCCCCAATCCCCAAATTACTGAGACTTCACTCATAGATTTGGAAGTTCTCAGCAGCCCAAAGCAAGCCTGAGTTCTTCTTGCCAGTGTCCCCATATTTTATTTTATTTTTTTAATTGAGTTCAGAGAGAGGAAGAGAGAGATAGAAACATCAATGACAGGAGAGAATCATCCATCGTCTGCCTCCCACACATCCCCTACTGGGGATCGAGCCCGCATCCTGGGCACGCGCTCTGACCAGGAATCAAACTATAACCTCCTGGTTCATAGGTCAATGCTCAACCACTGAGCCACACCAGCTGAGCATCCCATATTTTAAATATGAATACTGCCCATTACATGGTTTTACATCTTCAGCCCTGCCCTACTTCATGGAGCAGTGAAATCTAAAGATGGCTTCCATTTGAAAATGTTTAGATAGTCTCTTCTCTTTGAAAATGTTTAGACAGCCTAAGATTATTTAAAAAAAAAAAAAAAACTGTCCTGGCAAACCAAAGCTTTCTATATCAAAAAGCCAAGCTTCTTATGCATAAGAGGGTTTCCTACTGTTTTCATTTTGACAGGAGGCTCTGTAGTTTGAGATTGTTTTCTGATCCTAGGAGGCCAGTCTCACGTCTAGTCAACTGAAGCTGTGACCCATGGGGAATGTGGGGAACTGGGGGCAGCCCCCCTCACCTCACTCTTCCAACCTGCCCCCACCTAATGCCCCACATTTACGGCGTCAGCCCAAAACTTAAGGTTTTGTTCACATGGTTACATGGAAGCCCCCCACCAGGGGGGAGGGGGCACAGCTTAAAGAGATGGAGGTGCCCAAGAAAGCCCCTCCCCACTCTAATTTCTCCCAGGTCAGCCCTGGTGGAGTCGTAGAGTGAAAACGTTCAGGTCTAAAGGATCTGAGTTTACAGAATGAGAAACTGAGGCCCCGAGTGGGGAGGCACATTGCCCAAGGACAACAGCTGGTCAGGCAGCTGTGGGCTGAAACCCGGATTGCCTGCGGAGCAGACAGAGGCTGCCTTTCAGGGACAACAGGCACGTGAGCAGCAACATTTAGGGGCCACATCACTTTGAAATATGAAAATGGAAGTGGCTGGGAAAATAGAGAAACTTTTCAAAATGGCTTTCTGACTCTGGGTAAACAGTAACCACATTTTTTTTTGCCTGTTGGAGGCCTGGTTTTTAATCACTCCACAAGCAGTTTTCATTTCTGTAGTAAAATGGCTTGTGGTTCTATTTAATTTGTTTCTGCAGGAGCCAGCTTTGATGAAGATCTCCGAGGAGCTGGCGGGCCTTTTAGCACAGCACGCTCAGCCAGTCAATGAGAAACGCTTCCCCACGTGGAGGAAATTCCTCTCCACACTTCTCAGTCAAGGTAAATAAGACTGTAAAGTTTCTATCGAGCACCCGTTTCCACAACCTTGAGTTCTAGTTCTGGGTCAACCTGGGGCCCGTTTAAACACCTCGCATCTCTTGTGTTGGTTTGGAAAAGGGCTCCAACGGCAGACGCTTTCCCTCTTTTAAACTTTGCCTAAATGTTTATCTTGCACTCGGCCCCTTAAGTAAATAGGAACTGGGCACGCCAAGCGTGGCAGGCGCAGCTCAGGACCGCAGCCCTTTATGGCACCACAGACTTCTCCTGGCAGGTGGGCGTTGCGACCCGGTGACCTGGATCTGGATCTCACCACGACCAGGAGCAAAGTTCTTAAACCCTCGGAGGCCGGGTGTCTGCACTCACCTACTTCACAGAGTTGGTGGGAGGAGTCAGCGAAACAGATGTGAAGGATTCTACCTGCAATGGGAAATAAATGTCAGTTTACTCCTGTTTCCTGGGAGGGTAGAAGTGGCCTCACCTCTTCCTGTGAAGGTAGAATCTATAATAATAAAAGCGTAATATGCTAATTAGACTGGACAGCCGAACGACCTTCCAGACATCCTTCCAGACATCCTTCCAGATGAAGTTGCTGCAGCGGGGCCCAAGGCAGAGGCGGTTAGGGGTGATCAGGCAGGCAGGCAGGCAGGCAGGCAAGCAAGTGGTTAGGGGCAATCAGGCAGGCAGGCAGGAGCCAGCGGTGCTGGATTGTGAGAGGGTGCAGGCCGGCCTGAGGGCTCCCCCACCCCCTGCAAGAATTTCGTGCACCTGGCCTCTACTTGCTAAATAAGGATCCTCTACAGTTCGGGAACAAAGGCAGCTTCCATTCCTTTCATCCTCCTCCTCCTAACTCATCCTCATTTTCTAAGGACATTAGGAGGCCCATGAATGAGGGAATGAATGAAGCGAATGATATTTATCCCCAGTGGCAGAGATCCCTGTGGGAGTGTTATACCCAGAGACACCCATGCAGTGCCGCTTACTCCCTAGGAGGTTACAGCTTCGGGCAGATATTCTTATATGCTTACCCACATGAATGAAAAGAGAAGGCTACTCTAACCGACTACAGAAGATACCTTTTCATCTATTCACCACCATCAGGTGATAATATTATATTAACATCAATATGTGATAATATCATAATACTGTAATATTATATGGTAACAGCAGCAGCAGCAACAGCACAGTCATGCTAATAGCAGTGATGATAGCCTAATAAGCACCAATGGTGCATATTATGTGCCAGGCGCTATTCTAAGTATATGTATATTAATTCATTTGGTCTTCCTAATAACCTTATGAGGTGGGTACCATTATCACCCTTGTGTTATAGAGGGGGAAACTGCAGTACAAGAGATCAGCGACCTTGCCCCAACCCACTCTGTTGTTGTGTAATAGAGTCAACAAAAGGCTATGCCTGTGTTGCTCCAGGAATGTTGGCCAGAGCCCAGAGCTGGTGGGTATATTTATCAAGGAACACCTCTTGGCTCAGTGTGTGGGAGAGCATCGAGACCTGTTGGTTGTCAGAATACACTGGCTGGGCAGGGTGGGGTGGGACGGCTTAGCCAACACAGCTAACAAATTATTTAAGCAAGGGGTTGGATGGCCAGCCACATAACAAGAATGTTGAAAAGGGTTTTCCCGGGTCGGGGGAGATATTGCTGCATGATGCCCAGTGTTCTCTCAAATCTACATGTCTATAATTCCACAAATTTCCATGTACCCACTGACAGAAAGACCAAACTAAAAGAGTCAACCCCAAGCATAACTAGAAGAAAACAAGGTACCGAAGACAACAACAAAAGAAAATGGTCAACAATAAGGGATTCTTGCCCTGTGCGGTTTGGCTCAGTAGATTGAGCTTTGGCCCCGAGAACTGAAGGGTCTCAGGTTCTATGCCAGTCAAGGGCACTTTACCTCAGTTGCAGACTTCATCCCCTCCCCAGTCCAGGGAGGCAACCACTTGATGTGTCTCTCTCACAATGATGTTTCTCTATCTCTCCCCCTCCCTTCCACCCTCTCTAAAAAATCAATGGAAAAATATTCTCAGCTAAGGATTAACAACAACAACAAAAAGAATAAGGGATTCTTGCCCTGGCCAGGTGGCTCAGTCGGTTGGAGCGTTGTCCTATACACCAAAAGATTACAAATTCAATCCCAGGTCAGATTGAGTACAGAGGCAATCGATGCCCCCCCCCCCCCCGCCCCCTTCTCTCTCTCAAAGCAATGAAAGCATATCATTGGTGAGGATTTAAAAAATAACAAAACAAAAAGAATAAGGGATCCTTTTTAAGTTAGAACAGAAAGACAGACGTGAAGTTCTCCAGGTCCATCCAGGACAGGATATTAGGAAGTTCCCAGATCGTCCAAGGTCAACCTGCAAACCTTCCTTTAATCTATGTATTTTCATGTGATCTTTGCAGATTAGAAAGAGTGTTCCCAGCCCCTGTCTCATCTCCTTGGGGATGTATAACCACAAGTTTAGGCTTCACCTGACCCTCTGTTCATCTCTATCCTTTCAGTCTTTTTCCCTCTTTTTCTTCCTCCTCCCTCCCTCCCTCCTCCCTCCCTCCCTCCCTTCCTCCCTCCTTCCCTTCCTTCCTTGTCTTTCTTTCAGCCATATTATAAACAGTGCCTATTTATGAGAGGTAGAACTAGGAATATCGAAGAACCAATTTTATAGATGAAGAAACAGGCTCAAAGCTAAGAAGTGACTTGGGTAAAATCACTACTCCGTGTGAAAGGGAACACAGCGAGATCCTACCATTTTAGCACATCTCAAAAAAACCGTTCTAGTAAGTCATGTGTTTTCAAACCTCTGCCCAGCTCTGAGCCCCCAGTGCATGCATCAGGCCTAGTAAATGCTCACTGATTGAACAAGGCTGTCCCCCAGGCTTTCTGATCCTCAGGCCACCACCCACCACCTCCCACCATTGCCTGGCTCATTTCATTTCTGCTCTCTCAAGTGTGCTTATGGCCACAAAATGTCCTACAGTTGGACAGAAAGAGCACTAGTCATTAAGGTATGAACTGTGGGCCATGAGCAGCTAATTGCCTCTAAGGCATCTGCCTATTGGTCTTAGATTCATCATTTATATAATGAATGGGCAAACGGTGTCTCCCCTTAGTATGATCAGAAAACTTCCATCCATTGAGCCCTTCTGTATGCCAACCATTGGGCTACATACTATAAACACCGCACCTCTAAGACTCACAAGAACCTGGTCAGTTGCTTTTATTACACCCATTGTAGAGGTGAGGGAAAGGAAGTTCAGAGAATTGAAGCTACTTGCCCAAAGTCTCCCAAGACACAGCAGATGCACAACCTGAGACCCAGTCCATCTGCCAAGGCCTGGCCTCTTTCCTTCTGCTCTAAGTGGGCTCAGTCCAGGGAGCAAATACTTTCACCTACTCCATGCTTTTCCCACCAGGAGGTGTGGTCGAAGCATACCCACCTGTGGAAAGTGTCACCAACCTGACGGTGGACATGCTCATAGAGCCCAACGGAGAAATCAGAGTGCTGTCCACGGGGGACCAGTTGCATGCAGAGGGCCCCTTCATCTCCTCCGGTACCACCATGCCTCAGGCCTCAGTGAATTCCCAAGTTCTCATTTCTTTGTGCCTCCAAATTGGAAAAGCTTGTAAACTGAGAAATGTGGTCGGTTACTTTTCTATAGACCTGGTGACCTTTATTGACCCAAGCACCATGGAACAGAAGGTAAGTCGACTTGATGCCACATGAACTTCTAAAATATGTAGACTCCACACTGTTTACACCCATGCAACTGGGCATGGAAGGGAGCTTCTAAGATTCACTGCTCACCGGCTGAGCTGACTGTAATTCAGCACCCACATGGTTGGTGTCAGTCCATGTGAGACAGGGCTTTATGTCTGGAAATACAGGGTCTTCTCATTTGGGTACAGTTGGAGTCTAAATGACCACAGCCCATGCCACATAGCTCTGTTGATTGGGCCGGAATTCTCTGTGTCTTATCATGAGTTTATTTTATGCCATCTAGGGATTGAACCTGTCTAGAATCTATTTTTAAATAGAACGTCAATCATCAGAAAGGAGTTGAGTCCTTGTGTCTGTTCCTTTTCTTAGTAATTCACCAGAAACTTGGGTTGTCAATTTTTTCTTCTAAAAAATGTGTTGGAAAATATTTCATAAATATAAAAAGGTTTAAATAATAATATAATTAATAGTATGTGTCCAGACCCAGCTTAAGAAATAAAATGGTGTCAATACCACTCCCGTCCTATGTACTCCTTGCCAGTCCTCCTCGTGTGGCCCTTCCTCCTCCCAGAGGTGGCCACTGTCTCACATTTAGGACTTTGATTTCTTTCAACATCCTTATGCTTTTGCTGCACATTGATTACCAATATGTAGTATACAGTTGCACAACTTTTTATAGTTCAGAACATCCTATTATGTTGTTATTCTATAACATGCTTTTCTATATTCAATATTTCATCTGGAAGATCCTCATGTGGACATGTGTGGCTCTGACGTATAACATTCTTGATAACAATGTCTAAATTCACTACTTCTTCACAGGATTTGTTTTTAAGTGTTCAGTTCCTCCTCGGTTAGTGGTGGGTGACCAGACCTCTGTCTAAAGGATGAAAAGGCCTCCTGCCCTCCCTCTCCCGAGATCCTCTGGCCATCCAACGTTGTAAATGCACTGTAGTTGTTTTCTATTCATTATTCTCAGGTTCATGCTTATCCGTTTCAGTCCGATGATGGTTTCAAAGTGCGAGTTTATGTTTGGGCAGTTTTTGGCTTGTCCAGTAATCATTTCCCATGTGCCTTCCTAAGCCCTCCATTGGTTTTACACTCCTTTCTCAGGTCCACACGTTGAGAGAGTAAAGGACAACTAAAGGGCATTCAGAAATAATCTACCCTGGGAGGAGGGAGCAAAGAAACAGTGCCTCTGGTGGAAGAGCTGAGTGGCAGGGAAGTAGGCGGCGGGAGGGGGTGGGGGGGGGTGCCGGGGGGAGGGAGCAGGGGATGCTGTCCTCCCCTAATGTTTGTATTGAGAAACAAGGATTAAACCTGCCATCTTTGGGGCAGGAGGGAGGTTGGAACTATGGGGCTAGTTAACTTGTGGTTTTTATTTCTTTGCATTTGGTACAGGGAGAATTGCACATGGCAGTGAGTGGGTCCTGTCCCTGGGTGACTCACCCTTCTGTGGTTCTGGGATAACGATTCCACCCTTCACTTGACTGGTCCCATGTGCCCATCTTTCCTCACAATTACTCTCTCTCTATTTCTCTCTTTTTTTAAAAAAATATTTTATTTATTTTTTTACAGAGAGGAAGAGAGAGGGATAGAGAGTTAGAAACATCAATCAGCTGCCTCCTGCACAACCCCTACTGGGGATGTGCCCGCAACCAAGGTACATGCCCTTGACCGGAATCAAACCTGGGACCCTTGAGTCCGCAGGCCGATGCTCTATCCACTGAGCCAAACCGGTCAGGGCTATTTCTCTCTTTTTTCAACCACATCAGCCTCTCTCTGCTGCCCTTAGTCATCATACCACCTTCTGCCTCAGGGCCTTTACACATGCTGTCCCTCCACCTGAATGATCTTGCCTTTTCTTCTTTACCTAGTTAACCCCCCTTCCCATTCATTATATTTCAGCGCAAGCCATGCTTTCTTAGGGGAGTCTTCCCTGACAAAGCCAAACTCACCTGATTTAGGTTCTCACATCATCATGTACCTCTCCTTCACACTACTTACCATAGTTACAATTTTAAACGTGTTTCCATGATGATCTGATTAAAGCTGTCTCCTCCTGTGGAACATAAGCTCTCTGAGGAGATGTACTGTGTCTCTTTTAACTCCCTACTCAATTCTTAGCACAATCTCTGCCCGGGGACAAAGTGGGCGTCCAGTAAATATTTGTTGAAAGAACGAATTAATGAACAATTAAGAGGGTACTCTAGCAGATGCTGGATGGTGGTGCCAAAGCTTTTAGAGAAAGAGTTCAGACATCAGTTGATGGATGGGACAGATAAATATTAGCCCAGGGTTCTCGGGTTTTATCACGCTATGATTTCTCATCCCTTCCTGTTAATACTTGAGTATACAGCCATTTGGGTTACAATTTTCAATAGGACAGTGGAGGAAGTTCTCAGGAAGTACATCAAGGGTGTTTCTACATTGGCGAGGGAAGTCGGTAAGCTCTCTGTGTAGTATATGTACGTGCTTGCAAAATCACTCGAGTATTTTCTAGCCATTTTGCAAACAGTGTCACTTCAGAAAGCACCTTAGTTTCTTTTCTAATTGGCAGGCATTGTGGTGCCAATGAAGAGACTGGCATACTATCAACCTCTTCTTTTTTTGCCAGCCTAACAGAGGGAAAATGTCATCTTGTTTTCCTCAGTATTTCTTTGATTATTATTGATAATGAACACCTTTTCATATGTCTGTTGGCCATTTATATATATTGTCTTAATTGCCTTATCATATATTTTGCTCCTTTTAAATCGAACTATAATATAAATGCTGATTTGTACAAGCTCTTTATATATAAGGAACTATTACCCTTTGATGGTTATACATATTGCAAATATCTTCTCCCAGATTGTCATCTGTGGCTTTTCTCTCTCTCTCTCTCTCTCTCTCTTTTTTAGCTATGTTTCTCCACCATAAAAATCATAATTCTCCCTTTGTAATTTATTGATTTTGTAACTTTTGCTTTTGTAGTTGGTTCTTTACAAAGTAATATTTGTGGAAAGGTATTCCAAGAGTACACCAATATCTTATTCCTCATCAAATTCCCACCCGCGAAACTTAGCACCCATTGCCAACTTTCTCCTGAGTCAGCCACCACTATGATGGTGGCAATTTACTTTTAAAAAAATTTTATTGAATTTATTGGGGTGGCATTGCTTAATAAAAGAACAAAGGTTTCAAGTGTATAACACATCATCTGTACATTGTGTGTTCACCACCCCAAGTCAAGTCTCCTTCCATCACCACTTATCCCCCTTTATACTCTTCTACCTCCCCTCTCCTTTCCCTCGGGTAATCACCATACTGTTGTCTGTGTCTATGAGGGTTTTTTTGTTTGTTTGTTTGTTTTGTTGTTGTTGGGTTGTTTTTTATTTTTGCTCAATCCCTTCACTGTTTTAACTCATCTCCCCAACCCCTCCCCCCTCTGACAGCTGTCAGTCTGTTCTCTGTTCCTCTGGGTCTATTTCTATTTTGTTTGTTAGTTTATATTGTTCATTAGATCCTGCATATAAGTGAAACCATATGGTATTTGCCTTTCTCTGCCTAGTTTATTTCACTTGGTGTAATATTCTCCAGGTCCATCCATGCAGTTGCAAAAAGGCAAAATTTCCCTTTTTATGGCCGAGTTGTATTCCATTGTGTAAATGCACCACAGCTTTTTTTCTATACTCATCTACTGAGGGGCACGTGGGCTGCTTCCAAAGCTTGGCTATTGTAAATAATGCTGCAATGAACGTAGGGGTGCATATATTCTTTCAAAGTAGTGTTTTGGGTTTCTTCGGATAAATCCCCAGAAGTGGAATAGCTGGGTCATAAGGCAGTTCCATTTTTAACTTTTTGAGGTGACTCCACACTGCTTTCCACAGTGGGTGCACCAGTTGGCATTCCCACCAACAGTGCACAAAGGTTCCCTTTCTTCCAACACTTGTTTGTTGATTTATTGATAATAGCCAATCTGACAGGTATGAGGTGACATCTCATTGTGGTTTTAATTTGCATTTCTCTGATGATTATTGACATTAAACAACTTTGTAGGTCTCTTGGCCATCTGTATGTCCTCTTTGGAGAAGTGTCTATTCAGGTCCTTTGCCCATTACTTAATTGGATTGTTTGGGGTTTTTGGTGTTGAGTTATATAAGTTCTTCATAAATTTTGGATATTAACCCATTATTAGATGTATCATTGGTGAGTGTGTTCTCCTATTCAGTGGGTTGTCTTTTCATTTTGTTGATGGTTTCCTTTGCTGTGCAACAACTTTTTAGTTTGATGTAGTCCCACTGTAATTTTTTATTTCCATACTTCGTTCTACATTTATTCATTGGCAATTTACTGCGTGGAAGAGCCTTTTCTTCTCCATCTTTCATTTATGTATGTGTACATGTGTGTATGTAAGCATGCAAGGATTGTGTATATGTGTATACGTGCATGTATTTATAACAGTTGGAACTCATGAGTTTCTACTCTCTTTAGGCAACCGCATTACGTACTTTCATCATTTTGAGGTTAAAATTGTCCCAGATTTGCCTAGTGGGAGACCCTTCAGGGTGGCTCTTGTGTTCCTTAGATGTGTTCCCATTATTCTCTGAGCACTGTCTTACTTTCTAACACAATGAGATGTTTTAGGTTTATCTTCCACTTCCCCTGACCCAGACCTAGTGCCAGCCTAAGAGCCTTGGGTCCTTCTAGTGGAAGACAGTATTAAGATCTGAGCTCTCAGCGCTCTCATTGCTTCTGGAGTGTCATTGCTTCCGGTCTCTTCCAGTAGACAAAGCAAGAAATAGATAATATATGTGCAATACACCCACAGACATAGATATATTATGCTTCTACGACTATTTCTATATCTATCAATGTATATATTTTTCTATTTATTTAATTCTTTGCTTTTATTATTCTAGTTGTTACCTAATGTCATAGCTTTAAAATTGTGCTGATCTCAATTTGACAAGCCTCTATTAGTGTATATATTTTCAGAC